TTTTACTTCTATCTATTTAATTATAATATATATATGTATATATATATATATATATATATGCAATTGTGTATATATTATATATATATACAATTTATGCTATAACGCGTAAGTAAAAATAAGGTATTTCTAAATTTACTATTAATAGCACATTTTATATCACCATTATCATTTAAATCTTAAAAACTAAAGGCACGAGTTTAGTTTATCTTTATCAGATAATCTTATAATCTTATAATCTTTGTCTAATGAAAAGTTGAAAGTTAAATGTCTCATTAGGTGTTATCAAGTGACAGTATCTTCTCGTCGGTGTTCACTTTGAAAAAAAATGTTGAAGAAGTGTGAATAGTAAAATGTAGTAGATTGAGATTAGCCTAGAGAATAGCGATTACTTTGTTAGTAGTATACGACGAAGCATAAAGAAATTATCTTAGACTATTTATTCGCGAGTTTTCCCCCCGATTAACACGGTCGTTATCTAATAGCCGGTCGGCCGTCATACGTGGTCGCGTTGTTACACATCTCGGCACGGGACTGATGGGAGTGCGGGTCAGCACCAGCACGCCGCTGGAAGGCTTCACCCTCACAAGAGACGATGGCTGGTTCGATCTTCTGGTGAACGGCGGCGGCGCCGTAACTTTACAATTCGGCAGATCACCCTTCAAACCGCAGAGTCACATCGTCTTTGTGCCTTGGAACGAGGTAAGCTTGAATTTCTCACGGCATATTAAATTCATCATGCGTTCCAGGAACTCTTGTTATCCGTCTTATGGTTAAAGGCAATATCGAGGATAATGATAGTCTCGTTCGTCTCGCTTCAGGTTGTCATAATCGACAAGATCATTATGAGCACTGCCGAAGAGAAGCCACCCGTACACGTTCCGCATGCGTGCGCGGCGCACGATTACGATCTCATGAAGCCGGTCGTCCTGGCGACTTGGAAACACGGATTCCAAGGGGCCTGCCCGGACAAGAGTGCCATTTTAGCGGAATCGCAAGTTATACAGGAGAGCCTTCAGATACCCGGAACGGGTCTGAATCTGGTATATCACAGTTCTCGAGCGGCCGGTTACCTGTCCACCATACAACTGCAATTGACTCCGGAGGTCATCCCGCCGACGTTGAATCTCATACACTTGAGGATCACGATTGAGGGTATTCTCTTCGAAAAGATATTCGAGGCCGATCCCGTGATCAAGTTCACTTATGCCTGGAACCGCCTAAACGTTTATCGCCAACGCGTCTATGGAGTAACGACTGCCATGGTCAAAGTCGGCTACGAATATAGCGACTGCAAGGATATTATCTGGGATGTGCAAACAACAAAACTGAGCGGTCATGACATGTCTATTTCGGAGGTTGGTGGTTGGAATCTGGACATTCATCATAGGTACAACTTCCACGAAGGTATCTTGCAAAAAGGAGATGGTTCGAATATTTATCTAAAGCACAAACCAAGAGTTATTCTCACCACAATGGGAGACGGTCATCAGAGACCGTTAGATTGCTACGACTGCGACGGACAAGCTTCCAAGCAACGTCTCTTAGCACCCGTTGCTCTTGCCACCGCTGCGGATGGTTCTATCTTTGTCGGTGATTTCAATCTAGTCAGGAAGATCCTCGTCGACGGAACAGTCAGAACTGTGGTCAGATTAAAGTACGTAGTTATGTCATTTAATTATGATTCTTTCTCTTATTTTCAAATTTTACTTTAACTTAACTTTCTTCTCTTATTCTTCCAGTGCAACCAGAGTATCATATCGTTATCACATCGCTCTAAGTCCTCTGGATGGCGTACTCTATATTTCGGATCCAGAATCCCATCAGATTATCCGCGTTCGCGATACCAATGACTACACGGATCCCGATCACAACTGGGAGACGGTAGTTGGCTCTGGAGAACGTTGTCTTCCCGGTGATGAAGCTCATTGCGGCGATGGTGCGCTCGCGCGAGACGCTAAACTCGCTTATCCTAAAGGAGTTGCCGTTTCCGCGGACAACGTCTTGTATTTCGCTGATGGCACCAACATCCGAATGGTTGACAGAGATGGCATTATCACTACCGTGATCGGCAATCACATGCACAAATCACATTGGAAACCTATACCTTGCGAAGGAACGTTGAACGTCGAAGAAGTTCATCTACGTTGGCCAACCGAATTGGCGATTAATCCTCTGGACAATTCGCTGCACATGATCGACGATCACATGGTTCTTCAGTTAGCGCCGGATGGTCGCGTCAAGGTTGTAGCCGGTCGTCCACTTCACTGCGCCTCACCGTCGGCCTCATTCGACACGGAACTTGCGACTCACGCTACTCTCGTAATGCCGCAGAGCATCGCGTTTGGTCCGTCGGGCGATCTCTATATCGCCGAGAGCGACTCACAGAGGATCAACCGCGTTCGCGTGATTGGTACCGACGGCAAGATATCCCCGTACGCTGGCGCCGAATCCAAGTGCAATTGCTTGGAACGTGGCTGTGACTGTTTCGAGGCCGATCACTACTTGGCATCTACCTCTAAATTCAATACCATATCTGCCGTGGCGGTTTCCCCTGACGGAGTAGTGCATATCGGTGACCAAGCTAATTATCGAATCCGTTCTGTGACAGCTAGCATTCCCGACGCAAGTGGTGCGCGAGAATACGAGATCTATGCGCCCGACACACAAGAGATTTATGTATTCAATCGATTCGGTCAACATATTGCCACAAAGAACATTCTGACCGGAGAGACTGTATATCTCTTCACCTATAATGTCAACACTAGCAATGGTAAACTCAGCACAGTGACGGATGCAGCTGGAAACAAGGTCTTTTTGCTCAGAGACTACAGCAGTCAGGTGAATTCGATCGAGAATACGAAAGGGCAAAAATGCAGATTGAGAATGTCTAGGATGAAGATGCTGCACGAATTGAGCACGCCCGACAATTATAACGTTACCTTCGACTATCATGGACCCACAGGTCTATTGAAGACGAAACTCGATAGCACTGGTCGTAGTTATGTTTATAATTATGACGAGTTTGGTAGACTGACGAGTGCGGTGACTCCCACGGGTAAAGTGATCAGTTTGACGTTCGATCTTAGTCTGAAAGGTGCTATAGTGAAAGTCGGACAGAACAACAGGAAACCCATTTCGATGTTAATTAAAGGATCATCTGTCGTCACGAAGGTCGGAGAAGCTGAGCAGAGAACTACAGTTCTCGCTGATGGTTCAGTCGGAAGAGTAACACCGTGGGCTCATACTGTTAGCACCGATTCAATGCCATATTCGATTTTGGCAGAATTGGAGCCTCTATTAGGAGAGAGCTACCCTGTCCCGGCTAAACAAAGAACAGAAATCGCCGGGGATTTGGCTAATCGCTTCGAATGGCGATACTACCTTCGAAAGATCCAAGGAAATAAGAATCGCGGTAACTCAAAAGCGATCGCTCAAGTCGGCAGGAAGCTCCGTGTCAACGGCGAGATTTTACTGTCTCTGGAATACGACAGAGAGACAAATACTGTGGCCGTGTTTATAGACGAACGAGTAGAATTGCTGAATGTCACATACGACAGAACAGCTAGGCCGATTAAGTGGGGACCGAAGGATGGTATCTTCGCCGGTGTTGAGCTAGAATATGATCGATTTAGTAGACTAACAAGCTGGACGTGGGGTGACATTAGCGAAACCTACGGCTTCGACAGAGCAGGCCGTTTGTTCGAGATCAAATATAGCGACGGCACGTCGATGGTATATGCCTTCAAGGATATGTTTAGCAGCCTACCACTGAAAGTTACTACACCTCGTGGAAGTGATTATCTTCTTCAATATGACGAAGCGGGAGCGTTACAATCATTAACTACTCCAAGAGGACATATCCATACATTCTCTCTTCAAACTTCTCTCGGATTTTACAAGTACCAGTATTATTCGCCAATGAACAGACATCCATATGAGATTCTTTATAACGATGATGGTCAAATTCTTGCCAAGGTATATCCTCATCAAAGCGGAAAAGTTGCTTACGTTTATGATCATGCTGGGAAACTTGAAACTACACTTGCCGGTAAGTGGCTTTTTCTAGGAAATTTACTGAAATAATATTTATTTTAATTTTATTTTTAAATTGAAAAGAGAATTTCTTCATATTCGCTTATTTTGTAAAATATTCCAAACTTGTTAAAGACGCAATCCATTAGACGCAATTTATGAATCTCTTTTCTTAGGTCTTTCCTCGATACATTATACCTATCAAGAAACGACCAGCCTGGTGCGTAGCATTGACATCAACGAACCGAACTTCGAAATGCGCATCGAATATAAATATCATGCCGGTATCGTGAAAGACGAAAAGATTAAGTTTGGCAGTAAGAGCGGCATGGATAACGCTCATTACCGTTATCAGTACGACGGTAACGCGCGTATATCCGGCATCGAAGTCGACATCAACGGCAAACAGCTACCTCAGCTTCGTCTCAAGTACAACCAGAATCTTGGAGTACTGGAGGGCGTCGGTGATCTCAGAATATACAGAAATCTCTTCAACAGATCGGTCATGCAGGATAGTAGCAAACAGTTCTTCACGATCACAGACTATGACGAGCACGGTCGTGTCAAGACTGTATTGATGAACATTAGATCATTCGACGTATTCCGTATGGAGCTCGAATATGACAATCGTAATCGCATTAAGATGAGAAAACTCACGATCGGAAAGGAGTCGATGGAGAAGAAGGAGTGGTCCAGGATGGAGAAGATCACATATAATGCGGACGGTCACGTGCTAGAGGTAGCGGATACAGAGAATAATTGGCAGTATGCGTATGACGAGAATGGTAACGTGATCGGCGTGACCGAACATAACGAGAAGATCGTTTTGGGTTACGACAGTGGCGATCGAGTGGTTCAATATGGTGACGTTGAATTTAATTCATATGACGGACGTGGCTTCGTCGTAATTCGCGGAGAACATAAATATAGGTACGTGTTTATTATTTTTTATTTTATTAATTTAAGAATAAAGAATAAAAGTAAGATTTATTTTCTTCTTTTATATAAAATATATCTATAAAAAATACATATAATTATATTTTTTTATTAAAATTATTAAAATTGTATCAAAATCCTTTCTTTTTGAGTAAATTTTGCAGAAAATTATTTTGTAAAAACCACTGGGAAACGTTTAATAAGTGTGTAATATGCAATTTTTTCCTTTTTTCAGATACAATTCGCGCGGCCAGCTGATTCACGCGTCGGAGCACAAGAAATTCCAGATTTGGTACTTCTACGATGATCGCGGTCGATTGGTGTCCATGAACGATGATCGAGAGAACATTACGCAATTCTTCTACGCAAATCCAAAAACTCCGGATCTGATAACGCACGTTCATTTCCCGAAATCATCCAAGACGTTCCGGTTCCTCTACGACTCGCGCGATTTCCTGATGACCGTAGAAACATCTGAGCAACGTTTCTATGTTGCGACGGATCAAAATGGCTCGCCGCTCGCTCTCTTCGACACTAATGGTAATCTTATCAAAGAGATGCGACGCACACCGTTTGGCAAAATCATTAAGGATACCAATCCCGATTTCTATTTGCCTATTGATTTCCACGGAGGTCTCTTCGATCCCAACACCAAATTGATCTACTTGAATAAGAGGCTCTACGATCCGACCGTCGGTCAATGGATGACTCCAGCTTGGGAACAGATGGCCAACGAACTTACCACACCGACCGACATTTTCATCTATCGCTTCCGTAATAACGATCCGATTAATTTCAAGCAGAATGTCGAGTATATGACGGATCTGGCAAGTTGGCTGAAACTATATGGTTATGATATCTCAACGATGCTCGGCTCCGAATATACGAAGCAAATGGTGTACCAGCCGAGCGCTATTGTCACATCTCCGCAATTAACTCCGGACTTTGGTGTGATGTCCGGTCTGCAGTGCATTGTGAATCGCGTGCAGGAGAAGTTCTCCGATCTGGGTTTCGTTCCCAAGCCATTGTTGAAGTTGGAACCGAAAACGCGGAATCTGTTGCCGCGAGTAGCACATCGTCGGGCAGTTTTCGGCGAGGGTATCCTGGTGTCGCGCGTCGGTGGTCGAGCTCTAGTGAGCGTGGTGGACGGTGTCAACAGTGTGGTGCAAGACGTGGTGACGTCCGTGTTCAACAACTCGTACTTCCTGCCGTTGCACTTTAGCGTGCACGATCAGGACGTCTTCTACTTTGTCAAGGATAACGCATTGAAGATCCGCGACGACATGGAGGAGCTTCATCGGCTCGGTGGCATGTTCAACGTATCCACACATGAGACGACCGAGCATGGCTCAGGCACGTGGAAGGAGCTAAGACTTCACAATCCGGACGCGGCCGTAGTGATCAAATACGGAGCTGATCCCGAGCAGGAGCGACATCGTATCCTCAAGCATGCGCACAAGCGAGCCGTCGAGAGAGCCTGGGAGATTGAGAAGCAACTGGTAATGGCCGGTTTTCAGGGCAGAGGCGACTGGTCAAAGGAGGAAAAGGATGAGCTCATCAGTCGCGGCACCGTCGACGGCTACGAGGGTGTCGACATCCACAGCGTGCACAGGTATCCCCAGCTCGCCGACGACCCCGGTAACGTTGCGTTTACCCGCGACACCAAGAGGAAGAGGCGGAAGAGCGGCAACAGGCGCAACAGAACTCACAGGCATGACTCGTGATTTGAGGATACCACGACGCGAGTTCGAAGTATCACATGGGACTTGATTCGCGCGTGAATATGAGAAGCGAGTATGAACGGAACGGGAGAGAAAGGGAGCAGCGCGTCGATGCTGAAAAAAATCCAGCTGCCGCGAACATGCGTCAAACTGCAATCCACGCGAGCGTGGACGTCGTCGTCCCTTTCTCTCTTCGGTCCTCCTCTCGTCCTCTTCTCCTCCTCGCGCTCGTTGAGATGCGAAGATCACGAATGCATAGTGCATCCCGTGTTCGGTGCGACCTATCCCGTCGATGTGCCATAAGCGCGTTCACGCGATCGCGATCGATCTCAGATTCGTAGATCGGTCAAACGTGCGTGCGGAGACGACGGGTATGGGAATGGATCGCGAAGTGTCAAAATTAAGCTAGTCGCATTATTAACGAAATGAAAAATATAAAGCTTGTTACATATGGTGATTAGTTTATAGAGAAAAGAAAAAGACACGGAGGAAGAGAGAAGGATGGAGAGAGAGAGAGAGAGAGAGGGAAAGGTGGCGAAAATCGACGCGTGGAGGAATGACAGAGACGAAAGTGCGTGCGTGAACTTTCAAAGTGCCGTCCGCGACGAAATCCGGTAGTGTTTTCGCGAAGAGGAGGATGGATGAGAATATGTCTTGGACTTTCTCGTCGGATCGTCGATCGAATTCGAGCTGGTGTTTATTCACGCAACAGGGTCTACAAGACACGCGTAAGCACGCACGCGGAAACGAGATGCCTCGAGATCGCCGCGTCGAAAGCATTAAAAGATGCGAGGCGAGAGGATAAAATTTTTCGATACCAGAGGTATGACACTGACACTCTCCGAACGTCTTAGTCTTATCTGACGCTCCCGTCGTTCGGGATAATCCCTCGCCCCGCATCTCTAGTCGGGACGTATCCGCTCGAGGGTGGATGCGTCTCAACAGACAAACTGTCCGTGGACGTCGCCGTAGATCGCGTCGCGAGACGCTGTAGGAAAAGCGTAAGGTAATCGAGCGATTGAGAGAGAACGAGAGGGAGAGAGAGAAAGGAAAAGAATGATTGGGAGAGAGAGAAAGGGACAAAGAAGAGCAAATATACAGCAGATATTTTTAACAAAGCGCAAATTGGTGTACTAGGTGCGAAACAAGCAATTGTAAATATAGCTACTCGAGCTCTTAATGGTAAATGTAGATAAAATATCGTAACGCGCGAGAGAACGATCGTAAACTCAAGTGGAACTGTCGATACCGCTTTTTTATATGTAATACAAAAAAAAAAGAAGAATATGTGACACACATGATATACGTGTGTGAAGGTATAGAAACTTATTTGTGCCCCCGTGATGTACGCGAACGCGAGAGATAATCGCGTTGAAGAAAGTCGCGGAGCTATATCGGACGCGTCGCGGTCTTTTTGATTAAGAAAAAAAAAAAAAAAAAAAAATAAACGTGAAAGATTCTGCTACGAGAAAAACGCGATATTTGTGCAAAACGGTTCACGTTAAATCTCGACCGAGGCCTACGCATCACGATTGACACACAAACACACTATCGCTTCAAATCGGCCGGATGCATAGCACGATCGGCAATGTTATCTTATTGATTCTGCCGTTACGTGCAAACGCGTAATTGAATAATGCTATAAACGCACCTGGAATCGAATTCTATCAAGTCTCTAAGATTCATAGAAACTTTGTGGAATTTTTATTTTAAAGATGTGATGAAGATTATTTTCCTTCTATTTGTAAAATCAATTCATGAAATTTTCACAAGATGAGTTTTGCAAGCAAATAGAACGACATATTGCTTTTCCAATAATGAAATAATAGTATAATATTAAAACAAATTGCCATCAGAAAATAATCAAGAAATATTGTTAATTTTATCATTATAGAATTATTACAACGTCCAATTTATCTGTTTTCAGTTATTTTACTTGTATTTTGTATTTCGTAGATTTCAAACTTGATGAATTTTGATCGTGATTGCCTAAAGTATAAGCGAATCTGTCGGTTTGTCGTAGACAATGTAGACACGTGTAAATAGTATATCGATATCACTTAAGCGTGTAAGAACTACTACAACGTGATATCGTTACGTAATAAAAAGTGACACGACGTGACGAGACAGCCGTAACGAGATACGTCGAAGTAATAATGTCCAGAAGAAAAATAATAATAATAAAAATAATAATAATATATGATAACGATAAGTAATAAGAATAATAAATAGAGTAATAATAATAATAATAATGGAAAATGATAATATTACCATTGTACGGAAAATGCCCCGCCTATCTTTCTACTAAAAATGAAAAATTATTTTTTGAATTGTGTCGTCGAAGAAGTCCTATGTAACCGTGTGTATGTGGGATCGCCCTGTGAAAAAGAACCTCAACCCCGCGCTCCGCCGAAGTGAGCACCCCCGGTAAAAAATCGTTGGATTAACAAGAATCGATACATGCAGAGAAATTCGTTTCGTCAAATTATAAATTCCTAATCCTTAAAATATAGGGAATTGGTTTTGCGATGATTGAATTCTTTTCTATATCTTTTAATCTACATATCTATTCAATTCTTGAGAAGAAAAGATTAAAAATTTTCATGAATTTCTTCCGTATCTCTTGTAATTAAATTTCACATCATCTCACTTTTCCTTTTTCTTCCGAGTTACAATATAAAGCATTGTCTGACATTTTTTTTTTACAATTTTTAAAATCAATCCCTGACTTTGAAGATCAGGCATTTCATCGAAATAAATTTCTTCGATTCGTCTTAATTCACCTATTTTTTACAGGGCACAACCTTAGCTCCTCCTCTCTGTAACTGATATAGCTGAACTCGTCGGTGTTTATCAATATTGGGTAAATAAGGGAAAAAAAAAAAGTAAAAAGCGTAGATCGAAGTCTGTGGTTCGGGTCGAATGAAGTAACCGACTAATAGAAAGTAAAGAATGCAAAAAATCGAATATAACGCATAATATATATAGGGGTACACGGTGAGCCAACGTGCGAGCCCATGCAGCTCCACCACGTTGTGGTTCCGCGTAGACGATATATTATTAAAAGGAAAAAAAAATAAAAATACATAATCATAACTACAAACGTACGTATTAGTTGACGAGTTAACGTGGGGTTTAGCGAACGGTTAAGGGAGTGTGCTAGTGAACCTTATAAGTAACATCGCTGTACATATCTGGGTATGACAGACAACACGTCTCCGTAATGCGAAAGTAGTCTTCGCATTCTTATATCGCGAAAGGTTTTTCTACCGCAAAATCGCAAAAACATTTTAGCGACTAGGCCTCCATTAATTTGCAACATTCAGTTTTTCACGTGCGTTTTCATTTTTTCCAAAACAAAGCCATATTTTTTTTTGTCTCACACATGCATTTTCTTCTTTTTTTACGAAAAAAGTAGAAAAATCATAGAAATCGTAATTCGTTTTACATTGTAACGACTGATAGATACGCCGCTAGAATTCTTGTTATTTCGCGCGACACATCATGTCTAGATATCTTGAATCTGATAGATTTCTTTTCGCCTTCCTCGAAGGGGAGCCCGAGGCTAGACGAGGCATATCGATCTGTGATTCATTCCACATGTCAAACCGTCGAGACACAGAGGCTAAATTTTATTTTCCTCCGTAGGATAAGGCCGAGAGAGTTTAATGCGGAAAATTGCTCAGCCATCAAAGCCCGGGCTCCGAGGCTTTAAATACACAGGTTCGCCTACATTAATTCTTCGAAACCGTAGTTAAATAGCATCGGTGCGCTCCTCTACACCACTGTGATCTCGAGCAAATAATTTTCACGTACTGGAACTAACACATACGTCGGACTAACATTCGAGGAAACGATAAATATTGTTCAAGATGAAATACGGAAAATCGTAGTTTTCGACCCCCTCCCCCCTCCTCCCCCCCCCCCCGGTACCTAAGCTGGATTTAGCTTCATACAATTCAGCACAAACGCGCGACCCGAATCGAGTTACGACCGAGAATATCGTTTCTAGAAGATGTTTCGACTCGTTGATATCATTTTCGGGATTTTCTATATGTTAGGGAGGGAAGATATCTATTTTTCATCATATGATTTCAAAAATTACGCTGTCGATGGACCGTCAATTTAAAGCGGATGTATCTTTAAAGTGACTGAACTCCGATAGGATCACCTCCTCGGGGATGTTCTCGAGCGTCCCTTCGACATCGCGTTCTTGACGATCTCTCCTCGGACTGTCACGAGCACGCAGGGGACGCAGTTCCGTAGCGCTTGTTACTGAGTTGTCCATTTGCACGCCGTTATCCAACACGTTATTGTAATTCGTAGAGAGACGCTCGGCATGCGGCCGGCATCCCCTGGCCGAAGCGACCGGGCGAACGCTGCATGCGGTTTTTCTATGTGTATACTCGTCTACTTGCAAAAACGATACGTAAAAACGGGAGAGAGAAAAAGAAACAGAAAACGATACGATACGTTTAGGAGAAGAAAAAGTCCTGTACTCGAGTTAACTTTACGCTTAGCGCATGTTTCCTTCGAGCGCAAGGGTCGCGGATGAGTCCTGCTCCCCCGTCGGTTCTTTCCCCTTTGGATCTTAGCAAAAATTCATTCGGCCAAAAATTCGGGGTAAAATTATCATTTACATTCTTATATTGTGTAAATGAGATTCGGTAATTTTTATTAAATATGTATTTTATATATATATAATAATATATTAATTATTTATTTAAAAGATTTAAAGCCTAAATTTCACAAAAAACGATGTGTTTATCGATTACTGTTTCCCAATATCTAAACAGCTTCAAAGAAGCCTTCAAATTTAGCAAATACCTGAGCATTACGGAATCGAAGGATGTCCAGGGAAAAGAGAAACGGGAGCGAGACTCTGGCGCGACTTGTCGCAGGAGGGTGCAAAATTTATTATTGTTAACGCCGGATCGCGGTCGGCAGGCGCGATCGACACGCGACTAAGAAAAAGCAATACTTCGTAACTATCGTGTATGTCTTTGGACGCCGTTGAAAGTCCGGCGGTAGAACGAGAGACGATGATAATATGTCAAAAGCGAGGAGAGTGTGAGGAAGGATGCATGAAAGGATAAAAGAAAGCGAGAGCATGCGCACGCGAGAGAGTGAGAAATATATATATAAATTAATATATATATATATATATATATAAATATATAAATAATGCGAGTTGCGTTATAACGATAGTTACTGCGAGGGGAAAGAAAGGAAGTCGTGCGCTTTTTTTTCTTTTTATATATAATGTATACAGGCGAGCCGCGAGAGACACCGCTCGTCGGACGCGCTCGTCGCGCTTCTTTCTATACGCCAGTGAGAAATTGCGGCGGTCGCGTGATATTTTGTTTTTGTACATAATATATAACGATACACAATCGAAGAGAATGATATATCGCGTTTCGTTGGAGCGCCTCTCGAGGTCCCGCGACCGATACGGAATCTTCGCGACGCTGCGGATATGGTAAAGTGGTTCACATTATGTAGCTACGAATCACAGCGATCTGAAAGGTCCAAGAAAGAGCTTTATATCTGAGAACCACATGCATTTTTTTATTCTAAACTTTTAACGGATTGTACCCGTCTCGAATGCCTACCGTATCCGAAGCGTCGCGCGGAGTCTCCGTTATCGCTCGCGGGCGGGAGATGAAGAGCTGCCACATAAAAAAAGGAACAAAGGAAAAGTCACAATCGTACGCGACATTGATGTTGTTAATTAGGATACCTACAATTATCCGTAGCGATGGTAGTTTCGTACACCCGTGCCCGCGCAGAAAAAAAGGAATTATCTCACCGTAGCGACCTTTATACTTTCATATAAAGACGACGGTCAATTTGTATAACACGAGGAAGAAAAGAAAAAAAACGGAGGAAATGAAATTTTACCGGCATTTACCCTTGGCATTGGCGTGACGGTGAACGCGGCTCGAGTCCTGATACCGGAATCCTCGCGAGGGACTCAAACGGCGAACCGGCGATCACCGACGCGACCGACACACACGCTCGCCCGTTCGTCTGTTTCTTTCCGTTTTTCGTGAACTTGTACATATTAATTGCGATCATTATGTAAATACTTTTAAACACACACACGTAAACACGCGCGTGCGTGTCTGCGCGCAAGGTTTATTTTAAAGACTACATCATGACATATATATATATATATATATAT